ATGAGAAAGTTGAAAGGAAATGACATTGGTGTCGCATGTAGGCCAAATTTCACAGTACATCTTATTATATTAAAACCTGTTCAAGCACTTTACCTTCAATGGAAATTAAACCAATGACAGAATCCCAGCACATCACATCAGATCAGAAAGAACTAATGTAGAACTGTAACTCATGTTTCACTGAAAGAACTGTAACTCATGTTCTTTCTGATGTGAAGTTCTTTCACATCAGAAAGAACATGAGTTACAGTTAACAAAAACAAGTCACTGGGAACATTCAGCAGATTAGACAACATCTACCTGAGTGTTCCCAGCGACTTCTGTTTATGTTTCAGATTTCCAGCATCTGGAGTATTTTGCATTTTGAGTTACAGTTAAAATCATTAAAGAAAACCTAGTTTGATTATTACTCCGGCCCCAGGATCCGTTACTGTGAAGTTGTCTGAGACGCCGTCCGGCGTGGATGGCGCTATATAAATCCAAGTTGTCGTAAATCCAAGTTGTTTTTTGATATGTAGAAATTGTGTCAAGACTTTTCAACTTGCTGTATCCAGATTTCCTCACCTTCTCAGGGTGTTTCAGTCAGAATTCCTCATTCAACTGCCTCTTTTAATTGTCTCCTGCGCAAGAACATCCCTGTGTGATAAAGTGTTAATTACTTTTAATTAACTGTAATTAACTGTTAATTAACTGTTGTAATTGAAGCAGTGCTAATGAACTTGTCTTAAGTACAGTGTTGATGCTTTATTTTGGATCAGTTCACTGTGAATTATAAGTCTGTGCAAGTCTTTTGTTGCATTTTTCTTCTGTTTTTTTCTTGAGCTGAAGTTTCCTTCTTTGTCTATTTAGGGATATATTCTTGGGCAATTTGATGTGTTTTCTTGCATTAACAAAATAACCAAATTTAATAAGTTTTTGTCCTTTTTTATATTATTTTAGTGTAAGCCTTTTCATAAAATATATTAAAATTTGACTGAAAGTAAGAATTTGCATAGGGCTGAATTTCTGTATTGATCATTCTTCAAAGTAATATATTATTTGGCTTCACTAAGTACTCTTCTGTGTCACCCGATGATAATGTACAATCTTACCATCATTTGCTTTGAGAACTCTTCGCGACAAAATGTCATCAAAGCAAATATACTTTCTTGGTGCATTTGGGGGAAGGAGACAGAGAAACCAGTTTTGTGGCACAGTATCATTTGTATTCCATTCTGGGAAACCAATACCAAGTTTATAAATGTACTGTTCTGTCAATTTGTTATGGAAAATGTACCAAAGTAATGTGAACAAAAACTGTTAATGTTTTTTTGGAATTGCAATCTGAGATGATTTCATCAGGTCAGTGCTTCACACTTTCGCAGGATAACTGGAAATGGTGCCAATTAATTTCACCTCCTGCTCAAAAGTAATCCCTTAAAATGCTCCTGTAGTGCAGAAGATCACCCAAGAACTCTTAATGGACCATTTTAATGTTAAAGATCTGGTTGCGAATCTGACTTAGTTCTTCAGTAACTTTCACAAATAATTCGACTTAACCATTTAGAACCAGTTGGTGGAGCTCTGCACTGGTGATTTGTTACAAAGCTTTCATCAGCCCCATGGACAATGCAATGTAGAGCGGGAAATATAAATCTGACATTGCTCTCCAAATTGCTTGGAGCTGTACTAAAAAGGAACAATACTGCATTGTTGGTGCTAGAACTAATGTACACCCAATAATGTGTTACCATTGTAACCCCCTTAGTGTTGCATTCTCTTTCAGATAGACAGTTATTAGAAATATGAGATCTTACACAAGTTAAATGATAGTGTTACGAATGTGGTCTGGTTCACCCTATTATTTTTTGCAAAATAAAAGCATATATAAGAAATTGCTTATCAATCTTCGTTTCTATCTATCCTACCAATGTTAGTGTGTGTCAACAATCACAGTTTATTTTTGTAATAGTTATCTCTAAAAATAATAAACTTGGTCATTCACTTCATAGCTGATTGTGGAGCACTGCTGGGTGTAAATTGCTTCCATATTTGTCTACAAATACACAGGGACTTCACAGTAAAATCATGTGAAGCCCTTTGAGACATCTCAAAGGGGTGATGAGGAGCTTTGTCAAATGCAAAGATTCTATGCCAGGCTGGTTCAATTGGTAGTAGGCTCAGTCTGACTACAGGCTTGTGGATTGAATCCTCACACTGACTTGGAAATCATACATAATCTAAAGATGACACTCCAATGCAATGCTAGGGGTGTGCTGCATGGCTGGAGCTGCCGTCCTTCTGACGAAATGTTAAATTGAGGTCCCGACTGCCTGTTCAGGTTGACGTTGAAGATCTAATGGCATTGTCAGAGGTGCTGTCCTTCGCATGAGAGGTTTCATCGAGTTCCATTCTCCTGTTCAGGTGGAGGTTCAAGATCCCATGACACTATTCGAAAAGAGAAGGGAGTTTCTCTCGGTGTCCTGGCCAACAATCCCCCAAATAAAATTGGTCATTCACTCCATGGCTGTTTGTGGGAATTCGCTGTGTGCAAATTGGCTGACGTGTTTACGACAAATACTCAGTCACTATACTTCACAGTAAAATACTGTGAAGCACTTCGAGTTGTCTCTACAGTGATAAGGCTCTATGCCAAATGCAAGGATTCTAAACTTCCCAATCGAATGCTGTTTAAACATGTTACAACACTCCGCTGGATTGTGAAGCGAGCCTGATGGCAGTGGTTTGCAGATTTGAGCATTCATTGAAGAACAGAGATTCTTGTATTTTCAACAGTATCTGAACTTGAGGAATATTATTATTCTAATATTAAAAGTTACCCTGCAGTTTGGACTTCAGACTCATCTCTGCAATGCTTTTTTTTTATTGGAATGAGGAAAACAAAATAAGTGGGTTGAACTAGATTACACAATAATATTGTTATGTTCTGTTTTTGTGTTTAACTGAGGCTGTCATGTTAGGTTAAGCAAGTTCTATACGTGCATTTATATTTCTTTGACACGTTTAAGGTTGAATTTGAGGGAATGAAGGACAAGACTATCCTTGTGTGAATGCTATTTTATATATCCCTGTAAAACAGCTCAGCAATATAATAAGCAAGTGAAAAAGCTTTGTGGCATTCACCATTTGATGAGTTCACTGAGGCTCGCATGTGTGCAGTTCTGTTTCGACTGTTTGCAGCCACTTTGTGAGTCATCAGAAGTGTGCACCTATCACCCAACTGAGCAAACCTCAGCATTTGCTGTGAAAATCATAACCTGCTTGTTCTGTTTAGTGCAACTGTTGGAGTGACTTTCAGCAGGTTCCACTGCTGAGCATAGACAGATGAAGGCATGCATGTGGTAAAAAGACATTGTTGCGATTACAGCAGGAGGGTAGAAAGTAAAATCATTCATGTTGTGCAATGTTATCCATAAGGATTTAGGTCCCGTCTGCCTGTTCAAATGGACACTAAAGATCTCATGGCTCTGTTCAAAAAAAAAAGGGAATTTCTTCGGGTGTCCTAGCCAACAATCCTCCAGATAAATTGGTTATTCACTTCACAGCTGAATTTGTAAAGTGCTGCTTTATGGTAGGACTTTACATTTGGATATTGCTGCTGTGTTTGCCAAAAAAAAGCAGTGGAACACTTTGAGATATTGTCATGTTTCAATGGCTATAAAAATGCAAATTTTTATTTGTTTCTAAACAAATGCAGCACTGTAGTGTTTTTCATGAGGTGTTGCTAGTACTCAATTTGATGAGGTAAAGCTGTGTTGTTGATGATACTGTATTGCTCATGTGTACTGTGTACACGTTGTAGTGGGTTTATGCTAACTGTTTGCAAGGTGGAAGACTGTTGAGCAGAATATGCTTTGTTCAACATTCAGCTTCTTGCCCCCAACCCACACACTGAGAACAGATCAGCTCTCCATATGAAATAATAGACATAATAGTTCCTGGCTTAATGTTTTATTTATTGTAGTGACTGACATTCAAATAAACTGGTTGGAAGGATTATATTGTTCCAATTTGTTTATTAGTACATAAACAAACGTGAAGTATTATAATAATAATAATCCTTGCATTTTTGATATAGTGCTTTTCACGTCTTCTAGACGTCCCAAAGCGCTTCACAGAATATACTGTAAAGTGAATTGACTATATATTTGTGGGCGAGCACGGAGGCCAATTGCGCACAGCAGTGTCCCACAAACAGTCATGGATTGAAAATGACCAATTTATTATTGTTTTGTTTTTTGGAGGGATTATTATTAGGCGTGTGGAGTAAGGAAACTTGCCCAAGGTTTCGCCCCGCCTGGAATTCTGAGAAATATAGTCAATTCACTTTACAGTATATTCTGTGAAGCTCTTTGAAAAGTCTCAAAGACATGATAGACGATATATTAAATATAAGGATTGTTGTTATTATTAAATAAGAGAGTTTGTGCTAAAGAGCCTTCATTAAGAACAACTCCTTATGGTTACCATGTGACTCCTTATTTATTCCTGTTAAGAAATATTAGACTCTTGTAATCAAACTGCAAGAGGAACAAGGTAATTTGAAGTGGCAGTTTCACCAGAGAACTAATCCTGATTATTTATATTGCCACTTATTATTTGAGGGAACCTGGGTTTAGGGTTGATGAAGCTGTAATGCATCAAACACAAGATTTGGTTGGAGAGAATTTTTCTGCATTGAAATGACTTGCACAATTAGTAGACAGAAATTCCACCTAGCTCTAGATTTAGTCTATTTTCTTAGCATTTCAGATTTCTTTTTGGATTTCTTAAAAATAAACAAAAAAGTCTCAATATCAAGATTGTGTTTAAGAATTTGCCTAATTATAGACTCTCTGAAATGCTACGTAATTGGGTTATTCTAGGTTCAGGCGAAATTTCTCCCCTGAGATGTCATCTCATCTGCCAAGCTACTTGAACCATACCAGGAATGTTGGATTAATGTTTTTAGTAACAGACATGATGTTCCCTTGTGATATGTGATTAATTCCTCCCTCCAGGTTATACCAGCTGGTGAAAATCCTCTACTCCTTCGGGATCTTGGTGACGTACACAGTCCAGTATTACGTACCAGCGGAAATCATCATTCCAATTGTCTCTGCACGAGTAAGCGAGAGACGGAAACTACTTTGGGATTTTGTGGTCCGAGCTCTTATTGTTTGCCTAACCTGTGAGTAAACTTCCACGCATTTTGATGATTAAAACAACACACTTTCCTTGGGCTGCAGAAAAAATCCTAATGCACTGCAGTGAGCTGAATTTGCTACTGGAACATTTTGTTCTGATATTCTAGATTATTGGTAAGAATGCACATAAAACCACATAAAGAGGAAAACAACTACACAATATATTACTGTTTGCTGGCTTGTTGAGAATTTAAGTTCATTCCATATATAAAGGTATAATTGGTCTTAACTCCATTTTCTTTCTTGGCAAAACCATTTTAATAGTTTCTCTAAGTTCCAGATTGATTATGTTGTAACTGTTATTTGGATATTTGAAGGTGACTGAAGACTAAGGTATTTAAACATTCTATATATATAAGTGAATATTGAACCAGGTGAACTTGTGTTTTTTTTCTACATACATATTATCATCCAGCTTACTAAAAATTACATAGATCTTTTTAAAACAGTGAATTTTACATCAACTGCAGCGAATTCTGTATTCATTTAATAAGTCTACTGGTACTAAGCATCTCTCTCCTCAATCTCACTGATATACGTGAGTGATTAACAAAGAACTTCCACACAACTGTGTATGACTGCATTGATCGGAAGACTGTTTGCACAATAAGGGATGTGTGGGAGTGATCATAATATATGGGGTTCATAAAGTGCTCAAATGACTTTTTTGTTGCTTAACTGGTGGAATATTAACTGCAAGTTACGTCATAAGTTTTGTGCAGGGAAATCTCTATGCTGCATTGATTCATAAGACTTTGGCTCCAGCCTGGTACTTCCTTGGAGTTGGACTTTCGGGACAAAACTCAGTATTAAATCGCGGGTGCTTTTTATGGTGGATTTGCTGCATGAGCACTTTTGGAACTCTAGTAACCTCGACAAAATGTTTCTGATGACATTGACAAATTGTGAAATGTCATCGTCATGCCAGTGTAAGATTACAATCTTGTAACTATGTCATAAACCCATTATTTATTGTAGAATATATGCAATGGGTTTTACTAGTGCAATTTTATTGTGTTTTGAAGGTTTCTCTTCTTTTGCCTGCATACGGAAGTTCACCGTAAGGCTTTAAAAAATGTGATGCAAAACCTGATGAGTTTCTCTAAGGATGCATACCTCAGAATACCAAAACATAGCACTGTCAGCCTATATTGTAAAGGGAATTCGAGGGAAAATGGGGACGATTGAGATAAACTAATATTATAGTGTGTCCAAATGACATGTAGTGTTTAGACCTGTTCAATTTAAAACCAGAAGGTCTGCTTTAGAGTAGGAGAGATATAACCATAGAAAGGTATGAAATACTAGTTCAGACCATTTTTGTGTAACTATTTGTTGGAAAATTAACCATAACTTACTCCATAGGTTTTTCCAAGAAGCCACCTATTCTAGTACCAATAGCCTGCACTTTCCCTGTACCCTTTAATATTCTTTCTCTGCATGTGCTTGCCCAAATAATTTAAAAATTCTTTATTATGAATCTTCATGCATTTTCCATTTCTTTTTTAAATGAGGATGAAAATGACATTATTAAAGCAGCTTTATATAAAAAAAACTGCAGTGGATTTCTGGTCAATTCTACTATGAAATAATTAAAATATGTGTTTAACACTATCAAAAAACACCATCAAAAAGCATTGCAACTGAATGCCTTTCATACATCTTCTGAACAGTTGTTAGCCCAAAACTCTTGCACACAACCTCCACATCAAAGTGAAGTTACTGTTATCTTTGCCTATATACTACATATCTTCGAGCAAGAATCTTTATGGGGCTGAATCATTGATGCTAATAGTGAAAATTACCAATTATTTTGTTGGTGGATGCTTTGTGTGGACATCTTCTGTGCACACCTCTGTTTGTACGCATGTTGACTATGTGTTTAAGAAGGGGAGACATTGGATGGCTGCACATTAAAAGATCCATGTTGGCAGATCCACTTTGACTTGTCCAGTTGACAGGTCCGCATTGACAGGCCTACGTTAGTGGCGGATTGCTCACTGTTTCGTGTTTACTCAGGTTCTTGAATTGGTGGTAGAATGTATCAGGTATTAATAAAAATCCCCACTGATGTGCACACACCAGCAGCACAATCTTCCTGTTTATTTTTGTAAGATCAATAAAATGTTTCATGTGCACACGATTCACATTAGAGAAGGCCATGTTAACCGGGTCAGAACTAATTGGAGTTTTTCAACCAGTGTTTTTTTTACGAAAACTGAACAAATCACATTTGATAGAAAAGTTGAAAGTTAGAGAGTTTAGAGTTTGAAATACATAATTTAAAATGCTGTTTGCTGATGATGAAAGGTGCTATACAAATGTAATTTTGTTGTTGTCTTTGCTGTGGATGTACACAGTGGCATTTAGTAGATGCTCTACCTACACAGCCATTAGGTGGGCTACTGGAAAAAGCAAACCACATGTTCTCCAATGAATCCTTGGGAGTTTATTTTCTTCCTGGATTTTCTCTTCCAAACAATCCAGCTTTCAAGACCCAGCTTGTCTTCATTTCACATTATCATGGTTCTCATCAAAAATACCATAATGTGAACTAATGTGAGCACTGCTCTCCGTTTTCCAAGAACATAATGAAAATATATAAATTTTCAGTTTGGTATCTTCATCCGTATTGATTCAAAATCGTGTTATAAGAGCATTTTACATTATTGTTTTGCACAATACTGTTTTTGTGTTTTTTTAATTGGCTGGAGGCTACTTTGACTAGTCACAACTTGTCTTAATGCACAGATCGCAACACACTCTTGCGTTTTGCAATTGGGGCTACTTTGATTGGATAATTTCTCTGTGGGGTTTCTTTTTGATGTAGTGGTAAAAGGCAATATCGGCACTCATTTAGTTCAACACTACTGAAAACAGAAGAAATTATATATGTGACATTTTAAGCACTTTGATTAGCCAGTATTGCAGGGAGCAACCAATAAAGTTAAGCATTATTCTTGTGTCTTGGCTCCTTTTACATTAGATTAGTTCAAGAGACACAATTGGTAACTTTATTACATTTATTTTTGAATCGCAACTGTTTAGTTTTAAACTTGATGAATTGCTTTATTCTCCTCATTAATGGGATTCTTTACGCAGTGTTTTCAACTGTGTGTAGACCAATCCTCAAATAAGGTAGGCTCCGCTGCACCATCACAATGGAGTTGGCTGTTTATCTCCTGTATCACATATTATGTGTTGACTTCATTAAGTTTAGGTTGGTTTCTCTTTTTGAAACTGTCCAATTTGAGATACGTTACTCAGTGTGTGGAAGTAAAAATAATACTCCCCGTCAGATTCTGTACCTTACATTGGCATGTAGTAGAGTTTTTAATAAGAAAATGAGCGTAGAGCAAAATCAACAGACAACAAAGGCAAAAAATCTGCTCTCGAGGTTAAATGCTGCGATTCTCGACAGCACTGTAGTACATTATTCAAAGCCAAGGCAATTACATAGTTATGTTGGGAGCGAACTATTCGCACATACAATTATTAAAAAAAGTCTTTCTTTATTAAATATTGCAATAAAGAACATCATAAATATTGCATATTATAAACATCTGTTTTAAATGCAAAAGTTCTTGCAGTTTATCAGGGAATGGCAGCACATGTATACCAGAAAGGCAAATGAGGAGCTTTTGAAGGAAATGCCTTATCCTCTTGAATTGATGTTTGGGCAGTGTATTATATAATTATCTTTTGAAGGATTAAAATATATAAAATCTACCTTGGATTAAAATCTGTTTTCTGCTTTAATATGTTTTCATAGCTGCAGAATCCTTATTTTCAAGATGATTGTTTAGGGTGAGCATTCTCAGATGAGTGCTCAAAGCTTACATGGTAATCGGAGAGCCAGACAGATCCGCAGCACTCCAGGACACTGCTGATGTCAGCCTAGCTCATTGGTAGGGCTTGGAGGAGCAGACCAGTCACTGGGAGGAAGGATTTTTCTAACCCAGATTTTGTTAGTCCTGAAAGCCAAAGTCATAACTGGTAGGGTGATCTGAGTTGGATAAACAGAACTCTCAATGGCAAGCTATGTGGTTTTAGCTAGTTGAACTAAAGCAGTAGTCCAACACAAAAAGTCTGGGATTTTGCCAACCTATTATTCACCAGAATTAGGTAAAAAGGATGCACATTCTATTCCACTTTGTGATATTCCAGCTTTGATAGAGTGCCTTGACGATAATAGAATGGCAAAATCTGATACAGAGATTTCAAACAATATGGAAAACCCGAAACGATAAACAAAAGATATTGGGGTCTAATTTGTGATATTTTGCAACTTGAAATTGGATGGGAAACGCTAATTTGAGCCTCTACATTTGGCCTGAATGGCCAGGTTGGGGTCAGTGATTTCTGAAAAATAGCTGGAGGGCAAATCAAATGGATGTGGGAGATGACACTTTGCTCCCTGGACTTTTTTTTGCCAATATCACACATTATACAATATTTTACCAATCACAGTTGGTGCTTTCCGAAAAAAGTCCTTTAGTGGCCAATACCACTGGAGGCAATGGGGGTAACATTCATAGAATTTCATGCTGTGGATTTTTTATCCTTCTGTGGAAATTACTACCTTTTTCATCAATGTCCTTGAACAAGAATTTTAATAAACTAATTTTGTTTAATATAAAAGTGTAACTGTTTTGTGACTATTTTTAAGACTGAGCAGAACAGCAAAATTATAATGCGATTGTTCTGATTGATGGAACATTATGTTCATCAGGAGCAATAACAAATCTAAGTGCTTGATAACTTCAGCAGAATAATTCCCCAATGGTAATTTTTTTCTCCTGCTGAGAATATCTACGGGGAGTGCCGAACAAGAATGAGCTTTCTGTAGCTGGTTTGTTGCTGTGAGGGATCATGATCACATCACATTACTACAGGGAAGCTGAGTTGGCAGGGAAGCGTTGAAGGGATCCTGAGGTCCTATATATTGTGGGAGCTATCACGGCTCATCGGTTTAACCTCAACACCTGAGCAATAAATGGATATTCTTTACTTGATTTTAAAGTATGAAATGATTATGTATTTAATTTCACTTCTACACAGTGCTGCTGGCAAGTCTTCCTTATCGTATTGAAAAAGCACTTACTAGGAAAATAGCAGAGTGAATGATGTCTTG